TTTATGATGGTTAAGAGGAAGTCTCTTTGGGGGGGGGGGCCCCCCCGGTGGCCAGCAATTTCTGTGATACTAAATAATGTCCCAAGGGATAGAGAAATAATCATACACAGCATAAAACAACACAACCAACTTAGAGTCCCCTGTACCGTGGGCCTGAATAGTGATGATACGCATACACAAACATAACACAATTGCCCTTGCTCTTAGAAACACCAGAAAGTTCATTCCATATCTAAAGTATTAATGTTGATAAGAGGGACAGTTTATTCCTGGAAAAGGCAAAAACATACATGCAAGTGTGTATCTTTCAGGATTTTGCATATCTATGCATTCCTTAATGGGCTCTCTGACACCAATTGAGTATTTAAAGATCTTTCAAGGCCTGGGGCTATCAACTTAGGAATATTATTTTCTCTTTCCCTGCTAACTTTCCTCCTATTGTCAGTCTCTCCTTCCTTTGTGCTGCTCTTCTCCCCTTCCCAGCCTCAAATGTACATTAACTGCATATTCTATGCCAGGCACTGTGCTAGACGGGGGGGCTCTTGTTTCCAAGCTTTCCAGTCCTTTTCCTCTTCTATTTTCTTCTCTTATTTTACTGCTGGTTCCCTGAACTCTTTGCTAACGCGTCAGCTGGGCACATGTACAAGTACTAAAGCAGCCAGGACATAGGAAACACGTGAAATGTTACCTAGCCTCGTATCTCTTTAGTTGTTGCAAATGCCATGTGTCAAATGATCAATGCAGATGAAACAACTTGAGGATTTCGTTTCTAAGACACACTTCGTTGGCACCGTGGGCTTTGACCCAGACGCAGAAGGATGGGAAGGGTTGGGAAAGCAGTGGCAAAAGTGTTTCGGGGCAGCAATGGTGGGAGGAAACACAAGGCAAACTTCGCGGAGGCAATGAGCAGACCGGTCTTCCGGGTTAGCAAATTCCTCTTTTGAAATCTGTAAATAATGCAGTTGGAAAGAAAGACTGAAGCCAAATAGTGAGAGGTCTAAAGAAGGTTTGAAATTCAAATGTTTTATGCTATTGGTTCTGGGGAATCCATAGATGCAAAGGGAAATAACATAATGAATGTATCAAGTGACTACGTGCTCTTATTCTAAGGGCAGAGGCTTGCCTGTTCTAGCCACTGCTTTATTCTAAACATGTTGAGAAGGCCTAGGACATCATCAAAGCTCGATAACATCGGCTGAATGACTGGAAGGATGAATAGAATCTGAAACGGTTGGATTTTAAGTCATCTCAGCTGCTTGCAAGCTCTGTGACCTCGAGGGAGTTAACTTCGCAAAACCTCAGTTTCCTCTTCTACAAGCAAGGATAGTGACACCACCTTTCTCATAATGTAATTGAAGGATTAAACAAGAGTACAAAAGTAAAGGATTTAGTACCTTGACTGGCATATAGAAAATAAATGTTAACCATTAATAATTAGAATTAGAGGTCCCTGAACATAGTATGAGCAGCAATAGAAGGAAGCAAATGTAACAAACCCATTTAGTATTTGCTGCATCATGGGCCTAGCTACTGAGGGGGGGAAGGATGCATTTGGACACTTCTAAATACGCATCGACAAGATAACTTCTTAAAACATATTCTGACTGCTTTGCCAATATATTCTTCTAAATTGGTATATATGCAGAGAATATATTTTAAGCCATTTAAAGAACAGATCATTGAAGAACAAGTTCCAAAATGATATGGATTGTGATGTGATTAGCTGATAGGGTATGACTAACTGGCGAGACTCCTATAATCTGCAAAACCAGGCAAATAATGACTGTTGAATTAATGGTGAATATTAAATTAAGAGCCACAAGAATAGTGTCTGGCACAAGGCAGGCACTGAATAAATGTTTATGGAATGAATGAATGAATATTTTCTAAATCCTTATGGGAGAACATTTTAAAAATAATTTATTTGGTTTCCCGGTTTCAAATTTCTAGCAAATCAAATTCGTCTTCAAACATATTCTGAAAATCCAGTATTGTTGAAGATGCCTGCAGTAAACTATGTTAAAACCCTTGAGATTTTGATAATTAACTGTACACCATATGTTCCTGACCATGGCGTGCTTGCTACCTTGTCTTTCTTTCTCTAAGGAAATTCTTAGCCTTATGGTATATTTCAGTCTGCAGTTGAACTGTGAATTCAATCGTCAGAAAAATACAGGAATTTCAAAGATTTATAGATCACAAGTACGTTGTGCTTAAATAATGCCAGGCAACATTAAGAACATAAATTATGGCTCAGAGATGTTATTAAAAATGTAAAACAGTTCTGTTCACTATAGGGTGTAGGATCATAAAGTCTACCAACTTTAGAGAGTCTCAGGGATTATGATTCTATACGAGCCATCTCCTGATGAAAAAAAAATTATAAATACCATTAAGCAAGCTACAATTTTCACATTTAAAAATCTGAACAAATTTTTTTAATGCTTCGATTAATTATTAGTGAGTGAGAGAGTGTGTAATTAAGATTTTTAGCATAGCTTGCATTTTCTTAAATCATTGTGGTACTCTTTAAACAAAAGAATCTGACTGATGGTAATGCAAATTAAAATCTGCTGTTGGATCACAGAGGTGATTAAACACAACACACCAGTAGATAAAACTTTACAATGTATCCTTGCCAACATCTCAGAAGAGTAACCTAGAGTGACACCTTCACTAGCTATCCAAGAGGGTCCCACCCCTGCCAGTTTTTCTCATACTAAGTTTCCTAGATGATGCTCAGTGAAAATCTGAGGCTTGCCACTTGGTGGAAAATAAGGTAAGGTAGCTTGAAGGAAAGATTTTATTGAATTATGCAAGTAACTTGCTACCACTGGGAAACTCTAGATCCCAATATGAGGCCCTTGCACAACATCCCAAAGGCAACTCAAATCTTTCAGCACTCGATACACAATTTCTAATGAAATAAGCTTCTCCCGCCCAAACACAGACGAATAGGTCACACAAATAGCTTCAAAGTCAATATAACTGTCTAGATGACAGATAAGAATAATGGCATACCAAAAAAGACAAAACCCAGAATTATAGTAGGCAGAAAGAAACTAAGAGTAACTAATTTCCCTGCAACACTGGTATCTGGAAGGCAGTATGAAGTGCAAAAAGAAAGCAAACTTGGGGAAATCTGGTAAACATATTAAGAGAGGAGAATAAGCAGATAGTAGAGCTTAATTTTGCTTCTATAAAAAATTGCATGGATGGCGTGTTAACTCGGCAATAATGTAATATTCTGACTGTAAATATTCACTACAATCAAGTTAAATTGCATACAAATTTTTCTAATTAGTGTTTAGAACAACGCAGTTTGGAGGCTAATGGCTTTGTGTAACTTGCACAGAAAACCCGATTTAAGATTTTTATTCTGACTTACGTGAAAATTGATCTAACATGTCACAACTCCAGTTCCCAAAAGATTTGATTCTTTAAAAGCTATGTGATTAACTTTACTCGTGTCTACATCTCCTGAAAGAATTGAGGTGCTAAGGTGTTCCTGGTAACATTAGCTGGAATTGCAGTAAGTTTACATACATGCATTTACCTGTTCAATATAGACAGATATAATGACTGCATATTTACATACATATATTTGATATTAGTCTGTTTTTAAATTTTAAAAGTACCTGACATCTGGGAGATGCCAAGTCAATTTTGTGATAGCGCATAATATTTATTCTGTCTTCTCAGCCTTCTCCTGACTTGTCTCATTGTTTTCCCTCTTTATACCACAAACTATCATTTGTCATATTCCTCCCTTTAAGATACACCTAATTCTTGTAAGGAAGTACCAAATTAAAATAGGAGGAATCTGGAAATACTCACTGTTTTATCTCAAGAGTTCAATGCGGTTGCTTCAGCTGAGATAAATGCATGAAGACTTTTCTGAAATAACTTTTACATAAGGATAGAATGATTTCTACATAAGAAACAATTACCAGCCAACATTATTATCACCAGAAAATTGTAAGCTAGAATGAGCAATAAAAACATTGTATTTGGAATGAGATATTAGAGAATAGCTATTAAAATATTTTACTCAATTTCTATTATTCCTTAAAATGAAAGTCATCAAAATGTCATTATAGGCCTTTTCCCCAGATTCTTCAGAGATGGAATTTAATCATTTCAGGAAATTGAGCGCTATCCAACATTCACTTAAATCCTTTGAAATAACAGCAAAGCAAAGCACGATGTAAAATTTATAAGACATTTTATATTAAAATATGTTCACATACACACAGAGATACATACCACACACTGGGAAACATTTGCCTTCGGATACCTAGAATTAAACATTTCTCGTGAAATTAGCCACTCATATAAAGTATTACCTTCAAGAAGACCTGAAGTGAGAAACCCAAGTTAAGGAGCCCCTATTGGGCTCTGCAAAACCCAAGTCTTCATAAAGCACTAAAAAAAAAAATACTTCCAAAAATCCAGTTTTTGAAAATGACTTCCAGCCACAATGGTTACCTGTCCCACAGAGCACAGAACTTTTAACTGCTGCTCAACGAAAAAGAGCTGAACAGTTGAAGAAGCTCAATTAACACTAATAAAGGCGTCCTTATGCCTTCTTTCTGAAAACTAGTGCTCTTTGAGGAATTTTCAGGCTGACAGAAGACCTTCGACATCACCCAATCCCTGTGCTTATTTACCAGTCCTAGGAATAAAATCGACATAAAATAAAGATCATTTTTATTGATCCCCCCAAGGATAATGTCCTCTAAAAAACAAAAACCTGCTGGTTTTCAAGGCTGACAGGAAACATACGAAGTACCTGATTGCATTTTGCTAACAAAAGCTAGACAATCCTTAGAAAATGACTGACGATAAAATTCCCTAATACTCTCTTCTTTAAACCTCTTATGGCTAGAAAGAATGGCGCAAATCTTAGTTTTATTTAGAAAGCGGCTTTCTAATGCTACTGGCAAGAAGTACATGAAATGGCTTGAAAATTGCACTTTAAAAAATGTTTAATTTTTTACCTTCCCATTGGAGGAGGATGCCACTTCTTATGGAACTCATTTTTCCTGAAGATACTCAGCGCTGGCTGATTTAGGATAAAAACCATTAGCATGTTACTATTAAAAGAAAAAACCACCCTACAAAGCTGCAATCTCTCAGAGGGAAGCGGACGGTGCTTATAAGGAGTAAGTGCCTGGTTCTGGTAGCTGTTTTGTCAGCATCATCTTATTAGCGGACTGTATGCTCCCTGCAGCATCAATTAAGCACTTTTTAAGGGAGCGGGAAATACAGGAGGGCTCATCTGCTAAGCACGGCTGTATACTCCACAATCCCTTAATCAGCGCGGCTCCTTTCTTAACAAGGTTCTAGAATGCAAGCACATCCAGGGACCATTAAGGAGCACACAAGCAGAACATCCCTGGGAGTCGCCAGTATTGGATACAACTTTCCCTCAAAGAACCAGCCCGTGACTGAAGGCAGCAGAGCCGCACCACATCTGCCCATTTATGCCTCAGCGCAGGGAGCTTGCAGAGCGGAGGCCCACCCCATCCCCATCAGGGACTCCGCCTGACTTCCGAGGGCCCCCGGCCGAATCCAGGCGTCTGGAGAGGGCCTGTGTCTGAGGCGGCCCCAGCTAGGGAGAAAGTGAGGACACGGAAGGTTTGCCCTCTCAGCCTCAATCCGCCTAAAGTGGTATCACCGAGTCACAAGTGAAATGCTAATGCACAAGAAAATACGTGCCAATTTCCTCCACTTTGCTCCAAGTTTCAGAGGCCCCTCCGCAATAAAAGATAGCTGTTTGTGGAGGCTGCCTTGTTCCATACCATTAACTCAGAACAAAACATATTTTTAGTGGGACAGCGGTGTTTACTTGTAAGAACTGATGAATTGTTCGGCACCATTTATCACTTACAGACAAAGACATTCAGCCACAATTTTGGACATAAATCAAGGTGCATGCTCCTCAATAAAAAAAAAGAAAAAGAAAAAGAAAGGAAGGAAAGAAAGAAAGAAAGAAAGAAAGAAAGAAAGAAAGAGAGAGAAAAGGCTCCCTAAGTCCCCCAAACCACAGAGATTGAGGTCAGCCTGGCCATAGCAACCAAGAACAGGACTTGGGTCTCCAGAAGGACCTAGCAACCGATAAATGAGTTCAGATCTCTTTTCATCTCCACTGGTGTGAAAGCCAAAATTAAAAAGATTAGATCACCCTGCACCCATTACAAAAGGCGCCACAATGAAAAAGTCATTTCCAGCCTTTGAATCACATCAAATAAATAACATTCATCCTTGCTATAATGAACAACTTTCAAAGTAAATTGAATCTCCATAGTACTGCTTTCCCCGGCTGCACAGTATTTACATAACAATATATCACAGGAAGCTCAGAATGGGTCTTGTAAATGGGGAACTCAGATAAAAAGCATCTTTAGCCCCGATTACTGTATACTCAGACTGCTTTTCAGTCCCCTTCATTTAAACAATGTGTTGTATCAAGAACATAAACAATGTTTTTAAATTGTGGGAAATGAAAGTTTTCAGTACATTTTTAAATGTCTGGACTCACCCCTTCTGTGGGGCACTGAGAATGTAGAAATCACTTAACCTCCTAAATCCATGCCCGGGATTCATTTTTGTGACAAAGAATTCTCATCTATGGGTACACTTGCTTCTTTGTTCGTGCCAGCAGTTTTTCACCCTAAAAATCTCCTGAATTTTTATATATTACTTAAGATGAAAGCACACTCTTGCATATTTTTTAGCATGTGGTTCATTCATTATTTGTCATTTCCTCGAAAGTGTAAGGTATTCTCCACTGCCAGAACAATTATGTCTATCAAGTTTTAGCAATGCCTCCACACAATCTACTCCTCTTCTATAGCTAGTTTTGACAAAACGTCTCCAGGTCATTAAAAAAAATTTAAGGACTAATATCCCCCAATACTTAGGTTTCCATAAACTATTGTACAATTGATACATTTCAAATGGAGTATGTTCCATTAAGACAGTTAAATCCACCTTAAACATATACCAGCTATATCTTATCTTTTTTGTGTCAGCTCACGTAGACATTACTATTTGAACTCCACAGGGAATCTCATTAATTTTTAAAACTCTGTGACCTCAGTACAGTTGAGTATAAAAATAATTTCAAATTAAGAATGAAAGAGCATCACTTGAATTCTACACTGCCATATGCTCTACGTTGCACAAAACATTGCTAACTATCATCAAACAGAATTTTTTCCAGATACAAATTTAAACAGCATGATAAATGTCAGCAGACAGACATAAAAAGCAGCTCACCCGTCCGCCCAGCCCTGCTCACGCCTCACCTCCAACGATTCTCGTAACACAAAGCCCTGAGAACACAGGTTTGCAGGCAAGTGACAGCACAGATGATACCCTCGCGAAAATATTTTCCTACTGAGACTCGCTTTCTATCTCAACGTCTCTCTCAGCCACAAGCGTGCAAAAATGCAAGAATCGGGGCGTACACGTTTTCTTACCTAAAACTTGTCCAAAGGGCGGTCCTTGGGTCCTTGTCATTGTTGTCACCTCCGGTGCCCCCTCTCGCCATCCTGGAAATTGGCTTCACTGTGTTTATCATTCTGTGCCTCAGTTACAGCTGTGGCACTCATCTGCCTGCATAGAACCTATGAGGGGAAATAAGGGAGGGAGAGAGAGAGGAAGAGTAAGAGAGCGGGAGGGAGTGGATGTGTGTGTGTGTGTGTGTGTGTGTGTGTGTGTGTGTGAGAGAGAGAGAGAGAGAGAGAGAGAGAGAGAGAGAGACGGAGAGGGAGAGAGAGACTGCTGACTTGAGACTAAGAACCTAAAACCTCCGGCCACGACAAGCCTGAATAAAAATGATCAAAGCTCTGTCCTTCATCAAGAGAGTAGACAGATATTTTTTTTCTCCTCCACTGAAAAGTGGAACTGTCATTGGGGATTCTCACCAGGAAAGCGCAGACAGAGGCAGACCTTCTCCAGAGTGTCAGTGCTGCCCAGCAGTCCGTGCAGAATACAGGTACCTATTGTTCCAGAGACAGATATGTAGCCAGCCAGTCAGACTCTGACAGATCTCAGCAAACCAGTGAGCCTGCCTTCATTTTAACTCCTTATTTACTAGCGCTTTTTGGTCAAATGCAAAAGGTCTTCTCATCACCCAGGAGAAATAAATGGGGGTGATGCAGATGAACTCATGGCAGGAAGTAATGCTGTATCTTTTTACAAAGAGGGACTTTTCACTACTGTTATTGAAATGCTGAATTTGATGCAAATATCTTATTTTGTTGGGAGGAAATGAAACATTAGATTAAACCAGGACGACCTAGCCAGTAGAAGAAAATCTTGACATCCAAGATGAGTAATAGCACAGCCAATTTTCAAAGGAAGGCAAAAACTGGGGTTATTCACAGCACCCTGAATATAAATATATATACTTCAGAACATGAGTGGTGTTACCTTAGCCAAAAGGTTCCAACCTTTTGCACAGGGGTGTGGCATATTGAATACATCCCGCTCAAAAAGCTAACCTGGTAGACCTCTGTTTTCCTAGGGGCTGGAGGGTTTTGAACTCTCTCTTTCTAGACTTTACTGCTTTCTCAACCCCCCCCCCAAAAAAAAACCATCTGCCTTCCCCAAACCTCACCAGTATTTAAATTATTAGTATTTAAATTATGTCTAAGGCAGTAACACAAAATTAAGGGAGCTCAGAGAAAAATAACTTGTTCTAAATTTTCCCTGATGAATTCTGAGATCCAGAGGGTATATTTGATTGTTTAAATTCTTGGACCTTCCTGGATTACAGTGGGTTTCTAATTTTCACCTTTGTGTATTAATGAACTAATTTTCTCCTAAGGAGTGGTAGAAGGCAAAATGCTTTGCATCTGATTGTTTGGAACTATTAGAAGGCAGAGCATGGAAAAACAAAAGAAAAAGAAAAAGAAAAAAAAAAGAAAAAGTAGTTTCTCATTGAATTAAAATAAGAGATGGACTTATTCTCCACCCCCCCCCACCCCGCAAAAGACTCAATATACAAGCACTTTAGACTTTTTTTCTAGAATGAATGCCAATTTCATTAATTGTTACCATATAACCAAGAAACGTGGTGCATATTCTGATTTTGTAGGTGTGCTGCAGAGTCTATAAAATGGTTATGAAATTCCTTTGTAAAACCCACACTCAAGCATCACTTTACAAAGCCAGAGGGTAAATGCTCTGCGCAATAGGGGGAGGTTTAACTATGCATGGCTGTTAATAGTAATGAGATATGCAGTTTATGTCTATGCATTGCCCAATTGTTTCTTCTAAATATGTAGGGTTTGTTTTATTTATTAAAAAATAAAATCCTAATCAGAGATTGCATCATGATGTTTCAAAACTCCATTTAAAAAAAGAAAGAAAAAAGACTTAGAAAAAACAGTTCCCTCCTTTTTCTTGCCCTAAATCCCAGAATTCTGAAATCAGTTCAAGTCATGCCAATTTAAAAAGAACTCTGTGCAATTAATATAGGCTTTAGAAACTCTTTTAGAAGTTAAAATTGCCTGATTCAGTGACTTCTGAAAGTCTACTTTGTGTTTTGTACTCAGGGCGAGCTGCTATTATGTTCAGAAGGGAAAGGATGTCAAATGACTACCCAAACAGGGAAAAAAGTATCCAAGGTTTCTTATGAAGCTCATCTTTACCTATGACCAGCAACAAGGCAAGAAATCTTGTAGCTTGTTTTTTTCTAAGTGGATAAACGGATTTTTTTTCAAATCTATTTTAAAGAACATGCATATCTTTGTAAGCTTAAGGGATAACCTAATTTATCATGACTATCTGAATAGCAAAATAGCGGAAGCCCATTCAGTGAAAGAAAGGAGGATGGATTCTGGGTCCACATATAGAACGAGCTGGATCACAGCAGAGGTGACAGCTCCCAGGCAAGGCCCCCATGACTGCCTCTAAGGCTGCAGTTTAAAAGGAGCATCTAAGCTCTCACTCCTGAGCATGTGATAAGACTTAGGTGTAAGTACATTTAATTAGAGCATTACCCAGGCCCCATCCAGATGTCATTATCTCTTACAGTGTTTTTTTTTTTTTTCCTTTGATCTTTCTGTCCAACTTCTGTTGTCTTCAGAAAACCAAGCTTAGTGTGCCAAACAGATTTTAAATATTCAGCTCTTAACATGTCTGAATACAGACAGTTCTCACAGTCGGGGTCCATTATTTTCTGGAGGCATATGAAGAGGGTTATCAACATTAATGAGACTCATGTGCACATGTAAATAAAAAACAGAGGATACACTCCAGCAAAGTGTGTGTGTGTGTGTGTGTGTGTGTGTGTGTGCATGTGTGCGTGTGTGTGTGTGTGTGTGTGTGTGTGTGTGTGTGTGTGTATGGATACTGGTATCTGTATAATGTATACATTTTTTTTGTTGTTGTCTCATGAATTAGAGGAAAAGATCATTTTTTTTCTCAACCAAGTTTGTTTTTGTGACATCCCTACCAGGATGTCTTTGTCCCTAGAATACCCCTGAAGCCTATTACACAGTCCCAAGTTTATAGTTCACACTTCAGTCCCCAATTTGCCAAATAATTCATGTCAAGCAGAAGTCCAAGATAAAGTGCCAACTATTTCTTGAAAGAAAAAAAACTGTTTCATGTGCTAGGTTTTTAAGGAATAAACACATGAGGTTAGGGGCACCACTCATTAATAGTAGCAAGGGGGAGGCTAATCCCCCTGGTACTCCGCTGGGCATTTATCTCTTTTCATCTACAACGCTTGAACTGAGGGATGTGAAGCTAGATTTTCCAGGAGAAATGTGAAAGGAAAACAGAACAGCTTCTTTATATTAAAGAATATTCCAATTTTTATAATCCCCCCCCCCCCCCAGGCCTTGCTAGAGACACCTACAGTTACTCATTCACACAATAAACCTCACACTGTTAAAACTTCTAAGAGACGCTCCGGCAACATTGCAGGTAACCCGATTCCAGTAAAGTTAAAAATAGTCTCTGCACAAAATTAAACATTATCTAAGTTCTCCACACAGTTATTAAATACATAGAAGATCACCTGTGTGTATGATCTATAAATGCCTTCGGTTACATATTAAAATTCTAATTAAAACTTTTTGTCTTATCTCAGTTGGCCGATTTGAGATCAGAAAGTAAATTTCAGAGTGAAAGCTCATATGCAATTGAGATTTCTGATGGTTGCAAAGTTGGAAGTGAATGGCAGCGTTACAAAGTATTTCTAACGGAAAGAAAATAATACCAAACTACGAACAACTTCCAAGACCCCCTTTAGACCACGGGTATTCAGTGTCATGAAGGCATTCCCTGGTGACTTATCCCACAGAACCTGACTTTCTTGAGAGTTGGAGAGAGACAGACATGAGAGGTGAAATTTCTGTGGGGTGTGAGTAAAATATTAACCATGATTACATTCCAACCTGAAACCTTAAAGATGTGATTGTGAAAACTGGGTAATTAGAAAATATATCATAAAATATAAGAGCTAAAGGTTTCAATATTTAAGATCCAGGATGGGGTAAAGGCTAGTTGGGTTTAATCCACTAAATTAAACACTACTTCTGAGAGCACTGCTCTGAAAAGGCAACGAAAATGTAACGGAAAGGATCAGGGACTACTTTACGTCACCCAAACACCTGCAATATTTAATGTTTAGCCATTGGATAATTAACAGAGGGAAAGACGCACACTGATCCCTAACAAGCCCCTCACTGCAGTACAATAATGTATATACTTCACAGAGTCCACCTGACCAACTTACTGACATACAGTTTAAACTAATTAAATATTTGATTTCAGAAAAACTCAGTGAAATATTTTACTCTTCAGTTAGTATAAGCCGTCAGACATTTTGAGGTAATAGTGAAGTATTTTGCCTTCCTTAGTTTACAATAGCTGCTGGAAGTCAACTCTGAGAGCCCACAGAGAACAGAATGTTACTATTTTGCATAGTAACAAAGGATAAGAATTTGCATTGTTGCACGTGTAAGTGAAACAATGTTTCTCCATGTTTCCATAAATGTCCTCCTAAGTGGTCTCAGACTTAAGCACAATGAAAAAAAAAAAGTAATATGGAGCTGATTGATGAGAGTTGATACTCAACACAAAAGCATTTCATAGAAGTTGGGAAACTCCCAGAAGGGAATTACGGAGAAAAGTTGGTAAAGATTTCCCTGTACAGCATTTTAAAAAAAAATCACAGAATATTCCAGGATATGACCATTTCCTTCAAGAATTACAATTTGAAAGTTTTTGTTAACAGACATACGTTGTCCTGTATCCCATCCTTTGAGTGAGTTAGGATGTACCTGCCTTCTCCTACAGTGGTTTCCAGGCTTCACAGGGACTGGGAGAGTGGCCTGATCCATGATAAAAGTCAGGATAAAACATGATTTATTAATATAGCAAAGTCATTATAATCCTGAGCTAAAATGTTAGTGGACCTTTCCCTAGCTACTGCTGTTTAAGAAAGTCTTTAAAAACCAATTTAATTTCCTTCCACCCAGTCAAGTTTTCTCCACAGATAATTGGTTTTCATTATATGCACAAAAAGCATCAGTGTAGTCAATATGTATGAGGCATTTAAATATTTTCAAATGAAAGTATGCATGTACTTATGTTTGGGTACCCAAACATATACTTCCATTTGATTCTGTATCATTGACCATTAACATTCTCCTAATATGAGACTGTAAAGGTTACACAAACAGCTGAGTTAGTCATTAGTGGTAGTAGAAGTTCAATAAAGTTAGTCATATTCTTTCATTTTAAACAAGTATATCACTATAAAGTAATGTCTTCTCCCTGCTAATTGTGCTGAATTTTTGCATGCTCACAACCAAAATACTTGTGTTTTCATTTTCAAAGCCTTAATCATTTCACTGGGGGGGGGGAGAAAAAAAACACTAATTTTGTCCTAATCATCATTTACACAACAGCCCTTTTAGGATTTATAGAACTTGTCTCAGTATATTATTATCATCAAAAGTGTGTTTGAGATGCTAGTGCAGAATCAC